TTTCATAATGGATATTATGAATATAAACATTCTTTTGAATTTTAATTCATTTGTAATTGTGAAATTAAACTCTGATGGGAGAATTAAACTTTTTATTGGTATACAAAAAAAAGAATATATAAGATTGCATATAGTGGGACTGGGAAGGTGGCTCAGTGGTAGAGCGCTTGCCTTGCATGACTGAGGCCATGGGTTCGATTCCTCATCACCACATAAGAAAAAAGAAAAAGCCGGAAGTGGCACTGTGGCTCAAGTGGTAGAGTGCTAGCCTTGAGCTAAAGAGCTGAGGGACAGCGCCCAGGCCCAGAGTTCAGGCCCCACTACCAGACCAAAAAAAAAAAAAAAAGGATTGTATATAGCAGCAAAGAGCATGACTTTGGAGACAGATGAATGTGTATTCAGAATCCAAGGCTACAAATCACAACTCACCAGCTATGTGTGATTATCCTCAAGTATAAATATGATCCATAGGAACTGAATTTTGTTATATGAAATGCATAGAATTTGCATGAACTGTCTAATATAGTTCATTTATTAGTGCTGGTATTCAAGAATGGCAAATATAAAGTTACTGCTTTCTTGTAGAATATGTAGTTTTCTCCCAATGCTATTTTTGTTTTTCTTTAATATATTTTATTTTATTATTAGCTAAGTCTGATTCTACCCCATAAGTCCAAATTTTCTATTTCACACTAAAATATTTCCATTTTATTATTATGATATTCCAGGGATATTTCATATTTTCCCCTTCTGTATTTATAAATATCCATGTGGTTTTCTTTTATTGTTATTGTGTGTTTTGTTTTGTTTTGTAAGATAATTATATTCAGTTTTAAAAGTATATTCAATTTAGGCTATATAACATAATACAATCTTAAAATATTAGACATTTGTGATGAATGCATCTATAATAATTTGTATGCCCATATATATATATATGAAAATACTTATAAGTAAGCTATTGATTTCTCATTCATTAGCTTTTATTAGAGTTACGTATACCAGACTGTCTTTGAACTCATGATCCTCTAACTTTAGCCTCCCAAATTCTGGTATTAGAGGTGTGCACAACACCGATAAATAGGTAAATGTTAAATACTCAGCATGGACATCAATTTAGAGATATCATATGATGTTTTCTATAAAACTATGATAATATTTTCGTTTTTTTGGTTGTTTTAAGGCTAGCAGCAATGTGTAGTAACTTATCCTATCATAAACATATTCTAATAACTGTAGAGATGCGTTTTTTTTAAGACACTGGATAATGGATGCAGTAAGATAAACAAGAGAGATGATGTTGGAGAAGAGAAAAATTAGAAAAAATAAATAGATATACATGGAACTAGGCTAAGTTTATCTTTGATAATATTACTTAATTCTGCACAGTGAATGTATATGAGTTTTCATTTCCACTTTATTGATGCTTACATAGCTTGTGAGTAATGGAACAGGGTTTAGCACTAACCTAGTGTAGTGTTAGATCCAGAATTTTACTATAGTACCCCAGGACTAAAGAATGTTAGCATATTTCTTGTAACACTAATTAAGTACCTGTTATATATCAGGCTTTGGGATGAAATGGAGAGGGAAATTAGCCATAATCTCTACTTTCATATGGCTTAAGGGAAGGGAGGTTGACACTCTAACCAAAGACCACATAGACAGGTGTATAGATTACAAATGGTGAGAGATTTTGCACAAAGATGTATAGGGTAATAAAAGATTATAAAAGGGAAACTGACCTGTTCAGTTCAAGATGGAATCCTTGAGTAAACAGAATTTGGCCTGGGGAGTACAGGAGGAACAAGATTAAGCTAGGCAGACAATGGCAAGAAATATGTAGGGCTAATGGAAGTATCTTATGCAGAACTCATGATAAGATAAATAGGACATGTTTGTTGTTGAAACAAAGTCAGTTTGCCCAAAAGGTACAGAATGCAAAGAAGTCACTAGAGAAGTCAGATGAGAATTTAGTACAGGGGGCAATTAAACATATGTGTGTGTGTGTGTGAATATATATGTATACATCTATATACTAATATACACATATGTAATGTATATATAATATACATGTATATAATGATAGAGTATGCCTTTTTTCTTTAATAGCACAACTGGGGAGAAACAAATGGAAACAATGGGAAGGGATATCAGTCATAAAAAAGAAACCTGATTTGAAATACCTAAGAATATTTTTCATTACATATCATGGCCCAAATTAATAAAAATATAAAATCTTAGTTAAAGACATAAAACTAGATCTGAACAAGTGGAAAGAGTCGTGCTATGTTTTTCCACATAAAAATTAACATTATCAAAAATTGCTCATTCTGAAATCAATGTGTGAATGTAATACAACTCTATTAGAATCTCAATGCGTGTTGGAAGCAGAAAAATGATCTTAGAGTCTGCAGGAAATGATGAATGTCATCAGAATAATTCTGAAAAGGAGAAATTGTGAGAGAACTTGTTTTTATCAAATACCAAGTATTCATTATTTTTTTAAAGGAACTATAACCTAAGATCAGTGCTAAACAACAAGAAAAGACTAATGAGAAATCATAGAGTTCAAAAGTATATATCAGGATTTAGTATGGTTTGGAAATATAAAAATTCACTGGGAGCAACTTCATTTTCAAGACTGTGATATTTTTATAATTTTTTTGTGAAAATACTGTACAGAAGGGTTACAATTACATGGGCAAGATAATGAGTACATTTCTTATCAAGCATTGTTGCCTCCTCCTTTGTTTCCCCTTCCCATCCCTTCCCATACTCCCCTTGCCTCCCCCCTCCCAATACTTCCCCCACCAAACTTGTAAAGTTCGTTTTCCACATAACGACTTGTACGTCTCATTGTTGCAATGGGTCCACCTGTATCCCTATTTAAACGACTTGTTTTTTCCCTTCCCCTCCACAAATTATACCCACATCAAATACAGTGAAAGCAGGGGTTATACCGTGGGTGAGGGACATGGACATGCAAAGCAACAAAAAAATAATCTTATGTGTTAGAAACAGTCGCATGAAAGAAAAAAAACACATTTGAATACATATCTTAGGGTTCATTTTCCTAACAACTTATCTGACCTTTTCTGCTTGACTCAGACATATACTAGTTATTGCAAATAAGGGAAACCATGGGACCTATGTTTCTTTGCGCCTGGCTTACTTCACTTTTTGTTTACTGTACGTGCTATCTTATGTCCTATACATTTATCTCTATAGTGTATAACCTGGGGAAGTCTATTATTATTTTTAAAAAGTACATTTTCAGGTAGATCTTAATATTATGACAATGGCACTGTTACAATTTTATTTAAGTTCTTTTCTTTTTATTATTATCTTTAAGTACTAGTTGAAAGGAGTTGCCATTAACAATCAGTTTAATATACCTTGATCAACGTTACCATGCCTCTACTACCTATGCCTCCTTCACTCTTCTTTAAAAAAAATTATAGTGAAAATACCATACAGAGGGGTTACAATTACATGGGCAAGGTAATGAGTACATTTCTTATCAAGCATTGTTGAGTCCTCCATGGTTTTCCTTTCCCATCCCTTCCCTTCTCTTCCCCCCTCCCCCCCCCACCCGGCCAAAGTTGAAAAGTTCGTTTTCAACATAACGACTTGTACATCTCATTGTTGCAATGGATCCACCTGTATCCCTATTTAAACGGTTTGTTTTTGTCCTTCCCCTTCACAAATTATACCAACACCAAATACAGTGAAAGCAGGGGTTATACCGTGGGGGAGGGACATACAAAGCAACAACGAAATCATCTTATAAATGTGTTAGAAACAATTTCAAGAAAGAAAAAAAAACATTTGAATACTAAGATATACATTGGATTCTTCACTGCATTCTACCCCTCTTCTCCCCTCCGTTCATCTACCTCTTTCCCTTTGACCTATCCCACCCTTTCAAGTACCTACTTCCTAGTTGGCTGAACTTTGATTTTTCCTTTCTAAGGAATTACAGTATTTGATATTACCCGTGAGTATACCATATTTCAGTTAATATATTTATATACACTTGCATACCACCCAAGGTATGTACTTGTAAGTTTACAAGCTAAATCTAGCTTCCACTTATAAATGAGTACATGTATCCTTTGTCTCTCTGAATCTCACTTACATAATATTTCCAGGTCTTTGTATTTCTTTTCTAATGGATGAGTACAAATAGATGTGGATGAGTACAAATCCATTTTATAATATATAATGCTATATATACACATATATATCACAATTTCTTGATCCATTTGTCCATTGAGGGCATCTGGGCTGATTCCATACTTTGGCTATGGTAACTAGTGCTGCAGTTAACATGTTTCAATATTAATTTACCAAACCTATCTTTGATAACAGGAGAAAATAAGAGACATTGGCTGGCCAAGATCTTGAAGGGTCTAAGAGATTGGTGTGGACTACTACAGTGGAAGTGATGTGCTTCTAAAGACATAATCTTCACATATATCAGTGTGACTAATATTTTTCAAATACTTTTGGAGCATAAGTTTTTCAGAGAAAAGTAACAGCAGACAGTTAGCTACAAGAAAGCAGTGTCTATAAACAGGGAAACAATAAAAGAGATCCATTATTCTCAAGGGTATAATGACAAATTCACATACAAGTGGAATCATTGCTCAATTTCCTGAGATATAGCTTTCGAGCCTCTAAAAACTTCCATCTATTCATATCTATTATTCTCTGTACTATCACCCAATTAAATCATAACTTCCCTAAAGAGCAAAAAGATATAAAATTCTGTTCCACTTGTGTAAGTAAAACCTTAGATTTGAAAATTAGAGCAACAAGCTGAGAACCACAGGATTTTAATGATTATCAGCAAGGGTACTGCAGTCGCTCAAGACAATGAAATCTGCAACATGACCAGAATTGATATTATTTATTTTCTGAATTTATCACAATAGATACTTGTCTTTGACACTAAATAGGGTTTTGTCCTAACACCTCTATGTTTTTTTACACAGGGAAGATGTAAGAACAGCTAATGTAATTGCTGCAGAAGCTGTCACCTGCCTTGTGATTGACAGAGAGTAAGTACATTGCTCTGCTATGCATATAGCATCTCATATCAGCAACATACATTTCTGAAATTAGACATAATTTATGGGGCAATTAATACTTGTTTTCTATCTTTTCGTTTTAAAATTAGTTCTATATTTGATTCTCATTATGCATTATTCTTGGAAGTGCCTGGCTTTTGCCATTTCAGCTTTATGATTTTAATAAGGTTCTTAACTATGGTGATTTGCAGCTCAGTAGGCTCATTTGAAAATTGAGCATCATGAAATGCCATAGGTTTATTTTTCCAGATTCATGGGAACATGTCAAAGCTTTTGTAAAGTATCTAGTTACTCAGGAGATGCTCAAGTAACATTGGTTATTTGGGTAACTTTAGAATCATTGTTATTGTTGTTGCTATGAGTATATTTTACTTGTTTTTGCTATTCCTCCACCTGAGACTCCTATAATTGAAGGATTTGGGAAAGACAGTTTGGAGAAAGAAGAACCTGTGTGTGTGTGTGTGTGTGTGTGTGTGCGTGGAGACATAAAAAGATTATTCCACGATTTTTATCCTTGTCTTGTTTATTTTCTATATTCTGACCCCACTATTTTTATATCCTGAGTGATTTTTAGGTTAAATTACACTTATAAGTTTATTGATAATCAGAAAACATGATTAACATGCATATATACCATCTAGAACAAGTTGAGCTGACTTTTCTTCATTACAGTGTATGTCAATAATTTTTTATCATAAATGTTAAGAGCTTGACCCTAAGGGAATCATCAAATAGCCACGTGAGTAGGTCTACACCTACTATATTTCTAATAGATGGTGAACATCAGTGTGCATAAAACTGAGGAATACACAGAACAAGCAAAGGATGAAAGGGTTCTCATTTAATTTACAAATCTTACATCTGAGGCCCCTCAGAACCTGGACAATGACACTGCTGCAACATGACAGCAACATCCATGAGTAAGTCTGAAATAGTTATTCTTTGTCTGATTATCAGAAGCAACAATTGTCCATTCATATCTCCTATTTAGTTTGTATTGAAGTGAATCTCCACCATATACAAGGCATAACATTTGGCCAAGAATCAAAGCAGAAGTCTCTCTGCATGTTTGGGGGTGAGCTGCTTTGACCAGAGATGTGACAAGCACACAAAGGGCCACGAGGCAGAAATCATAAGAGTCCAGAATATAATTTCAAAGGAACCCAGAAAAATGAAGGTGCTGTTTCTGAAAACAATTGGGAAGATTTCATTTAAAAATAAGATATTGCATGAATTTAAGGTTTAAAAAGTCAATATGCATATTGCTATTAGTATACACAGTATTTATAGGAAACTAAGAGCCATTAGAGTGACATTGTATAAAGGCAGTAAAAAGAGGTATAGTAACACATATGTATACCAACATGATGGGCCTGGTTCACTAAGAACATAAAATACTGGTACAGGGTAGCTTCAATAATTTTATACAGGAAAATAATGTCATTATAGCAACATGTCCAGTAGATTCATTTGAGAATGCTGTATAAGATGGTTGACAGACATGTCCAAAACGAACTTTACAACGTCGGTGGGGGGGGGGAGGGGGGGGGGGGGAAGGATTGGGATGGGGGGGGGGGGGAGGCTGGGAAGTGATGTGAAGGGTAAACAAAGGAGGAGGCTGCAATGCTTGGTAAGAAATGTACGTATTATCCTGCCCATGCAATTGTAACCCCTCTGTACAGTATTTTCACAAATAAAATAAAAAAAAAAGATGGTTGACAGACAGAATTTCTGATTAGGTGTATACATCCAGTAGGTAAGCATGAAACCATTTATAGGACAAATGTATAATAATGGACAAGTAAAATGGGAAGGTTTAACATCTAACTGAATGTAAAGGGCAAGGGAAAATTAGAGATACGGCTGAGATGGGGAAAATGATAAAGAATATAGGATAATCCCTTTGAGAGGAACAATGATATTCCAATAATATAATGAAGCAGAAGATAGGAAATGTGGGCCAGGAACTCTTGCTTGGAGTTGGCTTAAAATGGACTGGATACGGTAATACCTTCCTAAAATTCTAGCTACCCTGGAGGCAGAAGTAGGAGGATCAATCCCAGACTAGACTCAGGTAAAAAGCAAGACTCAACCTTAAAAAATACAAAAAAAAGAAGCAGTCTATACTGAAAATACAAGCATGAGGTTGTGAATTCAAAACCCCCTACTACAACCAAAATCATATATATCTTAGAAATTGTATATGAAACATTGGTAGGCAAAGTCATATGATAGGTTTAAATCCCTTGGGATAATAGAAGAAACAAATGAAAAAAGATTAGAATTTGGTAAAATTCACTTAGGAGACAAAAAAGCAAAGAAAAGAGCCATGAAATATTTGAGACCTTATTAAACAGTGAAAGCATTGGAATTCAGAAACCAAGAGAACAGTAAAAGAGAAAAGAGGCTTACATGTCTAAGTAAAACAAATGGGAAACATGTGAAATAAAAATTCACAACCAGATACTATGTTGAAAAACAAACTTTGCAATTAGGTCGGGGGGGGGAATGGTAAGGGAAAAACAAAGGAGGAAGCAACAATGCTTGATAAGAAATATACTCATTACCTTGTTCATGTAAATGTAACCCCCCTGTATAGCATTTTCACAATAAAAAATTAAAACAATTCACAACCAAGTTTTTTTTTTAGAAAACTGGGTCATCAGAACAAGGTCATATCACACTGGGAGAACAAACTGGCTGCTTAGAAAAATCAGATTTTAAGTTACAGTTAGCAATAAAAAGTATTGGTGTACAACTGCAAAGCAAGGTTATGGGCAATGAGGCTGTCAGTGGTAAAGAGGCTCAGTTAGCATTGCACATATATTTTTACCTTCATCCTAATTTTCTCTTTTTTCAAACCCCAGCAAACACTGTGTACAATGGAAAGTGAAATAGGTTGTTACACAAGGCTGAAGAGATGAACCTTGATTATACAATTTTAGGGACATATGAGAGTACTTTAATGCTAAGTGTCAATTTCCCTTCTTGTAAAATGGGATAATGTTACCTGAATTATACAACTTGTTGAAAAACCATTCACTTTAGCATAGATGATAGTGCATGTTCATCATGAGATATGTAGTAAGCATTCATGTGCCCTTACTGTCATATACAGGTGGTCTATAAATTCCCCATAATTCCAATACATCAAAGATTTACATTATTAAGGTTGCCTACTACTGTATCGTCTTTACTTTTTTTTTGTGGGGGGGGGTCAGGGGTCCGGTCTTGGGGCCTGAACTCTAGGCCTGGGCGCTGTCTCTCAGCTCTTCAGCTCAAGGCTAGTGCTCTACCACTTGAGCCACAGTGCCACTTCTGTTTTTTTTTTCTTTTTGCTTATGTGGTGCTGAGGAATTGAACCAGGGCCTCAGGCACGCAAGGCAAGCTTTCTACCACTGAGCCACCTTCCCATCCCTCGTCTTTACTTTTGAGGAATCCCTAATAAATGTATCTTTCAGAAAAAAGTGCCCTTCTTCTTAAAAGATAGCACGGGGAAGCTCCTGATTTAACAACTAAGAAGATACCAAGGGATAGCTCTAACGTTAAGCATACACAGAACAACAGAGTGAGTCTAAGAACTCAAGAAGTACATAGGCATACTCTTAAGAGAAAAGTTAGGATTCCAACCAATGTTGAATACACAGTTGTAAAGGTAAAAAAAGAGAGAAGAAGATGAGAAGAAGCTGTGGCTGAAGCTTAGCTTTCAAAATCTAGCTCCTGATGAGTAATTGATGTCCAATTAGAAGAGCGCTGGGGCCTCATCCTGGGCAAACAGATGGTAGACATTAGATCTGTCAACAAAAGGAGCTTCCTCCACAAATTTACAAGCTAGGTAGCATGCTTCAGAAGCCAATGATTAAGCTTCATCATTCCAGAGGGAAAGCAAAGGGCTGTCATTGTTACTAATGATGCAAGTCAGAATTTTTTAAGAAATGCTTACTGGTAAACCAGAAAATGATAACCAGATACTTGGTTTTCTCTTAAGACATACTCTGAGGATCGACATCTTGCAGGATACTTATGATGCCAGCAATAAGCAAAAATTTTGAAATTTATCTAAAAGGTGAAATAATCTATTTCTTCTGATAAATACCTTAAATATATACAAAATACACTAACTTGGAAACTTTGGTGGCACCTAGTTCGGAATCCAGGAAAACTAATAAATATCAAAGGAAGTTCCTGGTGTTCTGTCGTCTGTTACACGGTGTTTACTTCTATCAGGTCATGGGAGGCTGTTGATGAAGCCAGAACTCCTGGTATCATAACTGACTGTTCTTTGACACATTGAAGGTCATTCTGATTGTTTTCAAGGGTATTACTTCTTGACTACTAGTAAGTAGGAATAACGATTTGTTTATGAAATTTATCACCAGGAAAAATACAACAACTAAGGAATTTTTTAATAAAATTTTTACCAGGAAGAACTAAGTTATAATATTAACTTCATCCCTCAATATAGAGAAACCTCTGCAACAGGGCCATTTTGGATAAAAAAAAACTGAAATGTTCTCATAATGGCTGGTAAATAGTAGAAATCTGAGTTCTTCATATGTCTACCTCTCTTTCCTTGGCAATACTCATCATCTTATCCTCCTGACCATACACATACACACACACACACACACTCCTAGGACATTCTAGATCTTTATTACTCCAGCAAATAAAGAAGTGGCAGCTAACACTAGGATCAGTGTCCATCCGGACTGGTCAATTCTTGTGTGATATTGGTCACTAATCATGTTAACTATTGTTTCTGATAATGCCAAAATAAAATAATGTCTTATTTTGTGTGCTATTAAGACCATTGCTTACATAAAATAATTTAGGATGAAAATAAACATTCCCGGAGTCCTGAGATCTCCCCCAAACTTAAGTCATGTCAGGTGATTCCTGAATCCATATATGGGACCTCACCAAGACTAATTCACACCGCTGATATGGCTGATGCAAAAACTTTTCCTTTG